TACCGTTGCGGCATTCAGAATGACCACATCAGCTCGCGCTGTCCGAACCCGCTGGTAACGCCGGAGATGTTTCGTCGGCCAGAGAACCCATAGGAGTTTGCCCAGTCGTTTTCGTGTGGCACGCGTACTGGGGACATGAATTCGCATGATTTCCGAATTATTGATTATGAGTTGTTGCGACAACTAGAGCGTCGAATTGGACGAACGTTTTCTTTGGACGCTGCTGCGAACGATGATGGAAGTAATTCTGTCTGTAAGATGTTTGCTTCACCGACCCGCTCCTTTCTCAATTCCGATTGCTCTGGCCACACTATCTGGATGAATCCTCCCACGAAATTGTTATCCGATTTCCTCCGTCATTACCACCGTTGCAAGAGTTATGATCCTAGCATATCCTCTTGTATTTTGATTCCAACTGAACAGAAGAGAATACGTCCCTATCTGAAAGACATGACACGACTTATGATTTTACCGTCCGGAACTCAGTTGTACCGTTCATATCGGGTTGGTTGTCCAGATCCCCCGCCTGAAACGAGCACTTATGAAATTTGGTGGGATCCACCTAAAGGAAAACCGATTGAGCCGAAATGTTCTATAACCGAAACCGATAATCAGTTGCATTTATTTGCTGGACGCCTTGGTGCTAATGCTGTACGAGTTCTTCCGGACACTGGCGCTACGCACTGCTTCATTTCCCAGCTCATGACTACCAAACTTGGCTTGCGGATCTTGCCTACACCGCTTGCTCCAGTGCGCCTAGCCGACCAGTCGACCGTACCTATTCTTGGTGAGTGTCGAGCTCGTTTGCGCCTTGGTAGTTTTGGTACCGATATCCGTTTGCTCGTTTTACCGGCTTTGACTGTATCGGCGGATGTGATCCTTGGCACGAACTTCTTAACCCGTTATGATGCGCAATTAAGGCCTGCGCATAGCGAACTGAGTTTATTACGGCCAAACGGTGCGCGATGTACGTTGCGAGCGATGCACGCCCCGTCTTCTTCTGTTTCCGAATCACCGAAACCCGAATTTCTGTTGTTGGAAAGAGCGCCAGCTCGCACGTCTGTGGTATCCGCGGAGCGCGCGTTTAGAGACCTTTTCGAGTCGCCCGGCTCGCGTGGGTTGCTGGTTGTCGTGAAACCGTTAACCGAATCTACCGCACATCCTCCGACCAGCCCCATTCCTCAGGTCAATTCTCTCGAACTTCCACCTGAAATCGAAACGAACCGAACTTTAGCAACAATCTTGCATGAATATGCGGATGTGTTTGCTCCGATTTCCGGGCTACCTCCTGATCGTGGGGTACATCATACGATTCCGTTAGAGCCTGGTGCACAACCGATTTACCGTCCTCAGTACCGTTTGACACCGTTGGAAAAGGAAGAAGTTGAAAAGCAGGTCAAGGACTTGCTGGCTAAAGGGTTTATTCAGCCCTCAACATCTCCTTTTGGTGCGCCTATCCTCTTTGTGACCAAGAAGACCGGTGAACTCCGTATGTGTATCGACTACCGAGCCTTGAATCGATTAACGATTAAGAACAAATATCCGTTACCACGAATTGACGATACGTTAGACCGGTTAGCGGGAGCACGAATCTTTTCCGCTCTCGACTTGGCTTCTGGTTATCATCAACTCCGAATTCACCCGGATGACGTCCCGAAATCTGCTTTTAATACACCGTTGGGACATTTCGAGTGGTTGGTGTTGCCTTTTGGGCTTTCCAATGCTCCTGCGACGTTTCAAGCAACCATGAACCGGATTTTCGCACCGTATATGCACCGATTTGTAACTGTATATCTGGATGATATTCTGATCTTTTCGAAAACTCCGGAAGAACACGCTGAGCATTTGCGTTTGGTTCTTGAAACGCTCCGAAAACACCAACTGCACGCGAAACTTTCGAAATGTGAATTCTGGAAAACCGAAGTCAAGTACCTTGGTCACATCGTAGGCTCTGCTGGTATCCGAATGGACCCGAATAAGGTGGACACGATCCGAAATTGGCCACATCCTAAGGACCTAAGTGAGCTGCGCGCCTTCGTTGGCCTTGCGAACTATTTCCGACGTTTTATCCGAAATTTTGCGTCTTTGGCCGCGCCACTTACGGACCTCTTTGGCAAACCGCGCCTCCCGGATGAATGGCCACCTCAGGCGCTGGCCGCATTTCAATCCATTAAAGAATGCCTGTCAACCGATGTCTTACTGAATTACCCGGACTTCTCGAAACCGTTTGAGCTTGTTTCCGACGCATCGCTCAATGGAACCGGTGCCGTACTGTTGCAAGATGGTCGTCCGATTGCTTTCACGAGTAAGAAATTTTCCGCTGCCGAACGCAACTACTCTACCGGTGAACAAGAACTGTTGGGCGTTGTGAATGCTTTACGCGAGTGGCGATGTTACTTGCAAAGCAACATCCCATTCACCCTCGTTACCGATCATCACCCGCTTACGTATCTGAAAACACAAGCTCATCTGAGTCGACGGCAGGCACGCTGGGTTGAATTCCTCGAGCAATTTACGTTTGAGTGGGTCTACCGACCTGGGAAACTCAACGTTGTTGCCGATGCTCTTTCTCGACATCCGAATCTGGCCATGATTCTCTGTGCGGTTCCTCCCGTTACTCCTTCTTCCGACCTCCCGATTTCGTCCCGAATTGCGGAAGCGACCCGCAAGGACGCCTGGTTTCAGAATCCGAATAATACACGAAAATTTTATGAACACCCAGGAGGGTTCTTTGTCTTGGAGGAGGAGGGGAATCACCGTATCGTCGTTCCGAATGATCCGATTCTGAAACACGAAATTATCTCACGAAGTCACTCTGATCGTTTATCTGGTCATCCTGGTCGTGATCGGACCATTGAATTGGTTCAACGAAGTTTCTGGTGGCCTACTCTCCGAACTGATGTCACGGATTTTGTGGCGAAGTGTGATGTATGTCTCCGAACTAAACCGGCTTCTGGCTTACCGGCAGGTGAATTACATCCACTACCGATCCCTGATATGCCTTGGGAAAGTATTTCCATGGACTTTATTGTGGGACTTCCGAAAACCAAACGCCAGCACGATGCTATTCTGGTGTTTGTGGATCGCCTTACGAAAATGGTACATCTTGTTCCTTGCCGTACTACCGCTACCGCCGAACAATGTGCTGACATGATGTTTCATCACGTTGTGAGACTTCATGGAATGCCACAAAAGATTATCTCTGACCGTGACCCGAGATTTAAGAATCTGTTTCTACCGGCTTTGCTCAATCGAGCTGGTGCGAAACAAAACACGAGTACCGCTTTTCACCCTGAAACCGATGGACAAACCGAACGAATCAACCGAATCCTTGGAGATATGTTACGACAATATGTTTCGACTGACACTGAACAATGGGATCGTTATCTCGATGCCGCTGAATTCGCGATTAACAATCTGCGAAACCGAACCACGGGTCAGTCACCTTTCTTTCTGAATTACGGTTTCCATCCGCGAACGCCTCTACAGTTGGAACTTGCTGATACCGTTCCCGTTGCTAAGGTGTACGTGGATACGTTTCATGAACGACTGAATCTTGCGAAACGATTTTATCAATCTGCGCAAGACCGAGCTGTACAACAGGAGAGTAAGAAACGACGTACCGTAACCCTCCATGTTGGACAACAGGTATTACTGAGTACGAAAAATCTGTCTATACAGAAAGGCACACGAAAACTGATGCCCCGTTGGATTGGACCTTTTCCGATTACAGAAATGATTAATTCCGTTACTTTCCGTTTGAATTTGCCTCCTGAATACCGATTCCACGATGTGTTTCATGTGTCCTTACTCCGACCTTACTGCGCTGACGTCCCTGATGGACCTGTTCAGCCTCCGAAAGCTTTGGAACTTGACCCCGTCACTTCCAAGCCTGTCTGGACGATTGAACGTATTCTGAAGCACGAAACCCGTAAACTGAGAAAACGAACCTTATACCGATTTCTGGTCAAATGGAAAGGACATACTGATGAAAACAATACGTGGCTTGATTCTACCGATATTTCCGATCGAAACTTGATTACCGAGTACTGGAAGGCTCACCCGGAACACAGCGAGGACGCTGGTTCCTGGGGGGAGGAGGCAGCTGTTGTAGCGCGATAGCTGCACAGTAATGATGAGCTTATCACGAAATATGCGAATCAATTATGATCATGAAATCTTCTGAAAACTGACCTGGCTGTCAAGAATCGTTTGTAAGAATTCACTGGAACTGAACATCATGAATCTGTACGACAGCCTTACCGAAATCCATAAATTTACTGAAATCGTCTTTGCTCACAGAACGGACGTGGGTTCTTCTAGAATTCATATTCTACTCACGTTCGGAGCGCGGTCTTATACCGTGGTCGGGGCAGTGCCGGCCTGAGACATACTTCACGGGCCAGTAGCACTGCACTACACTACAACAGCTCTGCTGAATTTAGAGCTTGTGTACGCGACTGGGCGTGTAACGACGCATCGGACCAGACAGTGAAGGTTTTGTCTAGTTCAGGGAGTTTTAATACTGGTGCGTTGGTTAAGGCAGACTTCACGCCCTCGAAGGAGCCTTGACAGTCCTTCGTCCAGTGGTAGGGCACCTTCGCACTGGTGAGTGACGTGAGGGGGGCCACGAGAGAAGAATATCCTTGGATAAATCTTCGAAAATAATTGGCTAAGCCAAGGAACGAACGCAGCTTTTGCAAGTCTGTCGGTATCGGCCATTCTTTAATTACAGAGACTTAAATGCTCGCAACAACGGTGGTACGACAGCAAGTGAACTCCAACATACCGAGCATCTGCGCAATTCAGTCCCTCTCTCTCAATATCATTTTAACGTCTCTTCGCTAAGGTAGCGAGTAGAGACAACCAAGAGCCAGCCAAACTACACCGACCCACCGGAGCCAAGAAACAACGAAGCGTACCCAGTAATGGAAAACGAGGTATGAAATTTGTTTCCTTATTGGCCAGCCTTTGCCCAGTCATCGGCATCTGGGCCGCAAGAGCGGTGTCGGCGGGTTGACCGGCTGAGAGAAGGCGCGACTGAAGGCGCTCCTTGCCTTCGTCGGGATTTAAGCGACTAATAGCGTCTTTGTCATCTTAATTCGTGCTAGTTTTGAGCAATGGCTGATAAGGAAAGCATGCAAGCATACTGGGTCGACCGACCCATCATAACAAGCAGCGACCGACGGACCAGTTAGACACACCTAGAAGAGCGACAAGTCATCCTTGTGAATGGTTCATTGCAATGAAGCGAAGGCAGAGCATCCCGTCTCAGAGCCGGACCAAGTCCATCGCATCTGACTTTCCGACCTTGTTGTTTGACTTGCTTGTAGTCGGCACCGGCGAGGCGCGTGATTGAACGCGACGGGGAGGAGATGAATCCCCCAGACAGACCGGTGAGTGGTTAGAGCGAGAGACCAGGGGGTAAAGATCACGGCAGCGCGCACCCGTGCACTCGGATCCCCAAACGCGACGCAATGCGAACTCGGCAACGCGAGAAGGATTACGTTTCCGTTTGGCGAGGAAGTACACCGGCAGCGAAGATAAACGCACTCTGCTCGACGAATTTGGACATAATATGTCGCGCGTAGAGGCAGAGACCGAACCCCCACGACCCCCAACCCTAGCGATGCGGCGGCCGAATTTCTCTCAGCGACGCGAAACCGAGACACGCAGTAACGCTCCACTTGACCACCTTAGGGATTAGGGAGTAACCTTTGGCGGTACTCTTATGCGTGACGAAAGTCGACCCCCTTCGCGTTTCCTTCGGGAGCTGCTGCCACCTAGCGTTTGAGGTCACCCCTCCCTTAGCGACGGCGGCAGGTTTCACCTAGAGAGTTAGAAGTCGACACCCTTAGAGGGTTGGGGCCGATTCCATAGCGAAGGGGAGACTGACCCTCCTAGCGAGCAAGGGCGGATTCCTTAACGGGTAGAAGCAGATGTCCCCTAACGAGTGGGGCTGATCCCCTTGAAGGCGGACCCCCCAACGATTTGTGGCTGACCACTTGGCGAATTAGGGCTGACCCATAGCGAATTGTGGGCCGATCCTCCTAGAGAGTTGGAGCCGATCTTCTAGCGAATTGGAGGCCGATCCTCCTAGCGATTCGGGGCCGACCCCATAGCGAATTGGAGACTGAACCTCCTAGCGAGTTGCGCTGACCCCCTAGCGAAACGGAGGCTGATTCCTCCTAGCGAGTTGGGGCTATTCCCCTAGCGTTATTGGAGGCTGATCCTCCTAGCGAGTTGGGGCTGACCCCCTAGCGAAACGGAGGCTGATCCTCCTAGCGAGTTGGGGCTGACCCCCTAGCGAATTGGAGGCGGATCCTCCTGGCGATTTGGGGCTGATCCCCGAGCGAATTGGAGGCTGACCCTCCTAGTGATTTGGGGCTGACCCCCTAGCGAATCGGAGGCTGATCCTCCCAGCGAGCTGGGGCTGATCCCCTAGCGAACCGGGGCTTATCCTCACAGCGATTTGGGGCTGACCCCCTAACGAATGGGAGGCTGACCCCCCCCTTAGCGAGTGGGGCTGACCCCTAGCGTATCGGAGACAGACCCTCCTAGAGAGCTTGGGGCAAATCGTCCCCTCCAGCAAGTTGGCAGCATCACTTCCCAGCGAGCCAGGCGCTGACCATGTTAGTGACCGGAAGCCGACACCCCAGCGAGCCAGAGACCTCATCATAGCGAGTCAGAGGCAGACCAGACAATGTCCGGCGGAATCCTTACACGATTTGCGCCAAGATATCTGGCGACCTAGACTCGGCATCATGAGATATTATCAATAGCGAGGCAAGGCGAAGACCTAGACCAAACCCGCGGCACCTCCACCATCTTCCGTCCCTACAGGAAACTGACATGCGCGCACCACAACTCCTACCGCCGGACCAACAAGCAGCCACCCAGGGACCGGATTCGGGAAATTCCCGCCAAGCCGAACCCCTGGGAGTGCCTCGCGGCCTAGGGGGAGGGTCACCCCTGCGCATGCCGTCCGTCCAGCTGCTGGGATCGCCGACGGCACGTTCACCAGCCGCCAGGCGACAGCGTCTAGATACCCCGGGAAGAGCGCAAGCCACAGGCGCGAGGGCGGCGGTCGACCTCCTCACCGCGTGGGAAGCAGCGACATTCCAGGCCGACCGGAACCCTACCCCACGGGACCTGTTTGGCCTGAGAACCCTAAACCCACTAGCGGCGCCACCAGCAGGTCAGCCCCCGGCGACGGCAGATGAGGACCTTGGGGCAGCGGGCTCCCAGCCATCGGCCGCAGACGCAGCAGGGCGGCAAGTCCGGCGACTGGTGCAAATCAACCTATGCCACCAGATCCTCCACCAGCACGGGCTAGAAGGGCTGCTGGCGGCGCACGCCGCGGGCATGCTAGACCTGGAAAGCACCAACCTGACTTCGAGGCTCGGAAGCGCGCCAGTAGGCGGTAGACAGTTACACGAGCCCTCGGGGCCCCGGTTTCCCACCTCTCTGGAGGAGAGACAGGTAGCCCGGCCCCCGAGTCTGCCCGCGAACGAGTACCCGAGCAGCGGCGCCATGGAGCGGGATGGCCACCCCGCACCCGAGGCTGGTTTTTGGCGTACCGCCGGCGTAGTGGCCCCACCCTACCCCGTCGAGGAACGCCAGGAGTACCCAGCATTGGCGAGACAACGCGAGAGCAGCGATCTACACCCGGCAGCGACAGGCCACCTCAGCTGGGAAAATATGGGCATTCCGTTCGCCCCGAAACGCGCAACGCAAACGGTAGCCCACCCAGCGCCAGCGCCGGGCCACTGGAGCCAAGCGGCAGAATCAGACGGTTTGCCCCAGCCGGGGGGTAAACTTCTCCTTGGGAACGTGCTTTTTGGACCGATAGAATCCGACGCCCGAGGCATGACTACCCGTAGGATCGTGCAGATGCCAGCGCTGCAGCACCTACAA